CATGGTTTGGTTGAGCAAATAAGAGCCTCTGTGGATCCGAAAAGGTCACGTGAGAGACGGAGGTCGCCGCGGAGGCCCCCCTCCCGGTTCCCCGTCCCGAGCACGCGCCAAGGGGGACTTGCAGAGGGCGCATGAGGCCCACGTGGTGGGGGAAGCGCTCTCGAAGGCAGGTCCGGCCCACGTGGGGTGAGGCACAGAATGGGGTAGTGAGGGCGCGAAAACCGGCTAAGCCTTACTCGGTGTCTTTGAAATGGGAGTCCCAAGAGCCGTTCTTAGAGCATATGGGTCCATCTCGGAGCCCGGTCCCAGATACTGAGACGCAATAGATGGCTCCAATCATCCCAAACGCCGAGCAGAAGATCGAGCGCAGCATCTGGACGTGGAGGGGAAGGAAAGGTGAGTCGGCCCCGCCTAGCTCCTACCCCCTCCCCCTATACATTTTCCTTCAAACCCCATTGCTAGGAGTTAGGTTAACCCTAAGAGCCAGCGGCTGCTGAGGTTCATGGGGGTTGTAGTCCCCTCTAATCAGGCCCATTGAGGCCTAAGATTGGGAGGGGGGGGAGGGGGTAATCGAGTTGGGGTAGGGGTAGGGGTAGGGCAGGGGAGAGGTGGATCCTGAGACTGCAGAGCAGCTGGTGTTGCTAGGAAGAGGGGGCGTGGCTTTAGGTTGGCGCTTCCGAGACCGGTTCAAAGACCGATCCTGGATCCCCTCTGAATTTGGATCTTACCCTGCAGCGATTCCCACAGCATCCTGCACCGCAACAGCCCTTGCCCCCTGCCCGGACGGCTGCAATTCCCGGACACAGCACCTATGGAACAAAAGTGCGTGTGACAGCCAGTCCCTCCAGATCCTCCAGGCCTTAGCTCATCGGTGCTAACCTCCTCCTGGAACCTGCCTGTGATGTCCTCAGCCCTTTGGACTGTAGGAAGACCTTATCTATACTTCTCCCGGAGCACTCTCAGGTTCCATTCTAATTTATCATAATTTATGTGACTACTTATTTCTGTCCAAATTGTAGCCTCCAGGAGGGTAGGGCCTAATAATATAGTCTCAATAAATCTTGAGACATGTTCAGTGCCCAATTGAATGGCAGTTAGGAGGCCTGAGTTTAATGCTAACCCCAATGCACTGCACACTCCAGGAATTGGTTCATCTCTAACCACTGAGAAACACTGGCCAGGGCTGTAGGGTCAGTTTTGACCCTCTGGCTTAGCCTGTCTGGTTAGGTCACTTACTGGGAAGCTCCTGGATCCAGACACCTAGAACTGCCTTTTGGGTTTACCAGTTTAGAATGACCTATCTATTTGATATTCTTACTTTTTCAGTCAAAATGTTTCTTTTGTTATCTGAGTTTCCCTGTCTCTCTATCTACTCATCTTAATGAAAAGAGATGAGTAATTGTAAACACAGGAGGAAACATTGAGTGTATAGCTCTAATCTGCTTACTTTTCTCCATCTCATGGCCACTGGCCTAGTTCAAGCCACTATCATCTCTCCTGGGCAACTGCAGTGATCTTCATCCCTCCATCTGATCTTTCTGCATCCACTATTGACTTCCCACTCTCCATTCTCCACAAAGAGGCACAAGGGAGTTTCTTTAAAAGAATAGTTTATTTAAAAATAAAAAAAGAATAGTTTACTGATTAAAAAAAAAAATTTTAGAGAGTGGAGTGTGCAGAAAGGAAAGGGAGAGAGAGAAACATGGATTTGAAAATGCAACATCGATTGGCTGCCTCCTGCATGCCCCCTAGTGGAGATTGAGCCCAAAACCCAGGCATATGCCCTTAATGGGGAAATTGAACCGTCAACCTCCTGGTGCACTGGAGGACATCCAACCAATTGAGCCACACCAGCCAGGGCCACAGGGATCTTCTTAAACCCAATAGGGTATGGAGCAGCTAGAACTCTAATACTTTGCTAATGGACATGGACTTAGTATAAGAGCTTCAGAAAACTCTGGTAATATCTAGTTGCACTGAATATTTGCACACTTAAGAACCAACAGTTTTACTTCTAGGTACACATCCAACAGAAATGCAAACATTTATTCACCTAAAGACATTTTCAGGTATCTTTATGGTAGCCTTATTTGTAATAAACCCAATTTGGAAACTATCCAAATGTCCATCAACAGTCGAATGCTTAAATAAATTGTGGTATATTCACACAATGGAATGCATAAGAAATAATAAACTACAAATACATGCAATAATATGGATGAACCTCACACACATAATGTTGAGCTCAAGAAGCCAGACACAGGTGGCCACACTGTATGAGTCCATTTATATAAAGTGCCAATTAGGCAAAACCAATCTATGGGAAAGAAGCCAAGATAGTTGGGACTGTTGTCAGTGGCAGGTAGTTTCTGGTGGGAGGCACACCTGAGATTCTGGTAATGACCTGTATTTTGAGTGCTGAGTATGTGGGTGTGTTCACTTTGTAAAAATTCACTGAGCTGTATACTGAGGATCTGGGCAATTGTCTGTATGACTTAAAGAAAAGTTCAGCCCTAGCTGGTTTGGTTCAGTGAATAGAGCGTCAGCCTGAGAACCAAAGTGTCCCGGGTTTGATTCCAGTCAAGGGCACATGCCTGGGGTTGCAGGCTCGATCCCCAGTAGGGGTTGTGCAGGAGGCAGCCAATCAATGATTCTCTCTCATCATTGATGTTTCTATCTCTCTGTTCCTCTCCCGTCCTCTCTGAAATCAACAAAAATATATTTTTTAAAAAAAGAAAGAAAAGTTCAAAAACAAGTTTAAAAAGTTCAAAAAAAAAAAGTAACATGTCCTTCAATCATTTTCTGTTGTACTTAGAGTAAAATTCAGATGTCTCCTGTGGCTTTCAAGAGTGTATATATTTGGTCTGGCCTCTGCCTACTCAAGATCTCATCTCATTTAACCTCAGCTGCTCTGGCCACCTGTCCGGTCCTCAGATATGTGAACCTGTTCCTGTCTGGGGCTTTGTACTGTCAGCCACCCTGTCTGCCATGCTGATTCCTTTTGGGGGGGGGAGGGTATGTGTCTCAGTTCAGACATCACCTCATTGAGGCCTTCCTTGAAAACACTATAAGAAGTGGCCCTCGATCTTGCTCTAGGAGCTCTCTATTGACAGACCCTGCTTTGTTTGCTTGATAGTACCTACTCCTATCTGAAATCATCTTGCTCATTTATTTACTTTTTTCAAGTGCCTCTTAAGTGCACGGCTCTGGTCTAGGCACCTGACACACAGCAGCCAGGGTAATGTAATGTACCTGATGTAATGAGGCTTACATTCTTGCTTCTGTGATACCGTGTGTCTCCCCAGTGGGAATGGCAACTTCAGAGAGAGCAGGGACCTTGCCTGTGTCCTCATGGCATAGCACGGACCGGGTGAATAGATTTGAAAAAGCCTTCTCAAGAGGGGGCTTCTCAAGAGTGGAGGTGGGAGCAAGACAGCTGGGAACGAGCATGTTGAGAGGGCATCCTAAGGGATCTCCCCTGAAGCAGGCTGGTTAGATTGTGGGGAGGTGGGATGGTTTAAGCTGGAGAAGAGCATGATGTGATCCTGAGTGAGGGTGTAGGTCTGGGAGGAGTGTGACGTCTCAGGGAGAGTTGAAGTCAGAAGGATGGAGTAGAGTCCAACAGCCATGAATCCATGTGGGATGGGGAGTAGGGGCAAAGACCCCAGAGGGTAAGAGGAGATTGGTGGATACAGTAGAAGAGGTAGACCTATGAAAGAAATAAAGGGGAGATGTCTCCCAGAAAATTTTATCAGTCAACTATCCTGAGAAGTGTGGAACTGTGCTGGGTAGGTCTTTTGTCTTCATCCCATGAAGATATTAAACTAGCTTGACATTCCAAAGTTCCTCTAAATGGGGAGGGAGTTGCAGGATGGGAGGTAGGAAGTCCAGGGAATCTGTGTCTCCCAGTCTCCCCCTTTTCCTGACAGATTCCAGTCTCCAGGAAGATGTGGGGGCACCTTCTTCATCACCCTGACCTAGGTTTGAGTTTATCCTTAGCTCTGAGCACAGAGGGGGCATTCAGAAATGTAGGGTGAGGCCCTAACTGGCTTGGCTCAGTGGATAGAGCGTCAGCCTGAGGACTGAAGGGTCCCAGATTCGATTCCGGTCAAGGGCATGTACCTTGGTTGTGGGCACATCCCCAGTAGGGGGTGTGCAGGAGGCAGCTGGTCGATGTTTCTCCCTCATCGATGTTTCTAACTCTCTATCCCTCTCCCTTCCCCTCTGTTAAAAAAAAAAAAAAAATCAATAAAATATAAAAAGAAATATGCTAAACAGCTTGGTAATAGAGGCAGCACAGCTCAGGTTAGGAACAAACGAAGGCCCAGCCGACTAGCAGAGGGTCCCGTGGCCTCAAAAACAGAGAAGCAGCTTTTGAGCTGAGCCTTGGAAGGGCGCCAGGCAGAGGAGGTGGTGGGCCAAGCAGAGGGGCCAGCATGACTGAAAGAGGGCCAGGGCCCCGCACACAGCAGACAGACGCTCACATTCTGTGAATGAGACACAGCCATGCTTGCTGGCATGG